AAAAAAAAAAAAAAAAAAAAAAAAAAAAAAAAAAAAAAAAAAAAAAAAAAAAATGAAAGGAAAGTAAATAAAAGAAAATGAACTAAAAGAATCATAAAATTACAAAGTAAATTGATTGAAACCAATTGAACCAAAACCCTACTAACTTCTTGTGAATCCTCCTGTATAAGGGTTATGTTGTATCTGTCTCCCATCCCTTGCATATTGCTGCCACATCAGTTGCTCCTCCACCAATAGCTTCTGCTTCCTCTCCATCTCCGACATCTGCACGTACGATGGCGGCGCCACTGCCACCGACGCAGCAAACGGGTCGCTTACGATCGACGACGAGCTCGCACTCCCATCGGACGACGACAATGTCGGAGGGGCTGCCAAGGCTAGCATGGCTGGCCTCCCTGCAGACCCAAGCGCCATGCTACTTGCACTGCCACTTACTCCATACCCTGAGCTACCCATTGTTGATATCATTGTTGTTTGCTTATTATACATGCCATCCAATAAAAGCATATCAAATCCTCCACCAAGATCAGCTCTTTGGCTTGTCAAATGGCTTGCTGATTGCACCAAAGTTGTCTCCCAATCCGATGAGGTATCATTGAATGCTTGCCATGGAAGAGTTGATGAAGGGTTTGTAGTTGAAGAACTTCCATCAAATAATGCCAATTCCAATTTCTTTGCATTTTGTTCTCTTGTTAATGCAAGTTCTTCACCAAGATTCAATAAATCACCCATTAATGAATCTTGTTTTGGTATAATTTCATGGTTCTCTTCCTTAATCTCTATTGCGGTTTCTTGTTCTTGTTCTTCTTCTTTGAATTCCTCGGGTGGTGGTGGAAGAGCTTTAATCGAATTCATGTCTTGTTCTGGCTCTTGTTCTTGTTCTTGTTCTTGTTCTTCATTTGTGATTTGTTCTTGACGTTCGTTCTTTCCTCTATCCTTCTGGGATTGAGCTAAGGCGGATTTGTCTTTAATGAATTCATCCATGACTTCAAGTTTCTTCAGAGTAATCTTTTCAACTTCGGGATATTCAGAAGAGCGAGCAATTCCAGTGCTTCTACTCCAACAATAGAACAATTCTAGCTCGTCGAATTGCTTCCCGACACGACAGAAAATCTCGTACACTTTAACACAATCTCGGATGCTTAGCTGCATGAAACGATCGATTAGGAGACCCATAATTTCGGTTATGTCGTAATATATTTGGAAACTTTCTTTCACGATTGGATACAATGCTACTAACACCACCCTGTTGTTCTTTGCCGCACCTAGGAAGAAACAACACCAAAAATGTAATCAATTTCATAAAGTTTATGATTTTGAAGATTAAAGTTACATAATCATCGTGTTTTTGTTAAAGGGTCTGAGTAGTTTACATGTTTTAGACGCTTTTCAAATTGATACAAAGAGGGAAGATCGTGAATTTTATTTTGGTATGTTCGATTGCACGAATCGGTTAGCTAGATGGGGTCGAACGTGAGTATATATGTAAGTTTACCAAAGAATCAAGATATGGAAATTGGCTACGAACGTATATACATAATGAAACGAACCTGTGGGACGACAAGCCAAAAAGCGTTCGAGAAGCTGTTGCAAATGTTGTATCCTCGAGAATAATTGTTCAGTTGTCATTTCTCGTACAGGAGCAATTCTTACAACAATAGCCTGACTATTGTCGTCGTCGTTGTCACCGCCATTACCGTTATTACTATTATCATCATCGTCATCGTCATTGTAAAGATTAATATTAATATTATTGTTTTGTTCCCCTTCTTCGTTATCCAATCCAAACGCACTTCTTCTCCCTCTTCGACTTTGCATCCTAAACTCGAGCTTTTCATCGAGGTACAAAGCATAAGTACGAACGAAAGCAGAGTAATCCCATGAATTTGATAGAGAAGTGTCCCTAAAATCCGACATGTTAAGGAACCTCGTACCACGCCTAGTCGAGAAAAAGATCTCTTGTTCATAAGCCGGGTCACCTTCAGACACCAAACGTTGGATTAGCATTAGGGTTTTGAGGGCAACAATCCAATTCTTGGTCTTATTGAGACGTCTAGAGAGCGTGTTAACACACGCGCTTATATACGCTCTCGAGTAGCATGTGAGGCTTAAGATCTCGCTCACGTATCGTTCCTCAGCCGGGTATTCTTCGTGTCTTGTAGCTTTGACAATGGCCACTTCCAAATCCGACAACGACGCGCTATTACCGACTTTTGCCAACCCTATGCTTGTCTTGTCCTTGACTGCCCCTAAGGCTTTCCTGATCTTGCTTGGCGCCATGGATGAGGTTCCAAGTTTGTTGGAATGTGTTTTTTTTTTGGGATTTTGTTGTCGTTTAGAAGGAAGGAGAAGAAGAGGAGGAAGATGATTTTGTGTTGGGTTTTGGTTGGGTTTCTTCTATTCTCTAATAATTCCCACCTTTTTTTTTTCTTTTGATTTTCTTTTGATTTTGTCTTTCTTTTTTAGTGAGTTTTTGGTGTGTTTCTCTCTCTTTTCTTCCTCAAATTCAACGTTGCATTACCCATTATTTTAGCATCAAAAAGTGGGATGTTTTGTAACATGTTTGTCATACAAGGTTGTTTTAGTTTGTCTATTCATAGAACTTGACTTCGACCTTTTCAAAGTTGTTTCAAACCACAAAATGACAAATGGATAATATGCTCCATCGTGGGGGAGTCCAAAGATGAAAGAAATTATCAAAATGGTGACATATCGAGAACATTTTAACAATATAGTTCATAGTGTGACGCTCGAGTAAAGGAATGATATATGAATACACCGATACCACTTCTGAATGAAAGTGATTATAATAATAGGATGGTTGAGAAAGATTTAAAAGAATTGAAATTACCCAAGTGACGCTCCCTAACCGATGTTCGGTCACGACGACTCTAGAGAATGAACCCGACCAAGAAAGGGGACCAGGAGGTGTGCGAATTGACTGGTGGGTCCATACTCGCACGTGTGGACCGTGTGTAGTACAGTAATTACACATTCAATTACTTGCTTAGGATAGCCACCTAAGGGAATATAGACTGATATGTTTGGTCTCATTCATGATTGTATGTTTTTGCATCTGACCCCAATAGCGGGGTCACTTATTGAATATTTTTTAAAATACTCAAGTCATGTGCTACTCTTATTTTTTAGGTAAAGGCAAGGCTCCCCTATACAGTTGACGGTAGCATCGCAACTCAGGAAACCATGACATATTCTAGTAGCGACTTTAGGTTAAGTAGAAATTTAAGGTTGTTACCCATTCTAACCCAAGCAAATCAAATAGCATACCGGCATAGGCAAGACTTTACAACTCACTTCATATTAATATTAAGTTACATGTGACCGTCTTGTTAAATATTTATCCTTCTAATTAACGATTTTAAGAAGAGAT